ATAACAACTAATTTAGTCGTGCACATACAGTTTTTTGAGACGATCGAAAGAAGAGTTATATTTTTATTTGGAATCATGGAATTCGACCACATAGTTTAGAAGAAGCTAGCAGAGTTATATGATTACCTCAGCGAACAAGTATGTACGGAAGTGCACAAACAAAACAAATTTGTCATTCGAGGAAATTGGGTAGTATGGGCGTCAAGGAAACGGCTAAAAAATTGGTTGGCCTTTCTTGTTATGGCGTAGTATATACAACGTTAGAAATATAATTTTGGGTAGACATTAGCTTTGCGAAAATTTTTCTAATGGCTTGGCCATGCTTATTTAAGATAACATGATAGAACTTTTATCTTTTAGGAATGTTAAAAGCGTCCAGTGGCCATAACAGGCGCTAGCGCTACGCCCTTCATCAAAAAAATTGTCTCCCCTTCAGCGCCCCTCCCCCATCCCGTTCCCCGAAGCAAAACTTCTGCGGCTAGCAGATCAGATAGTTGTTTGAACTTGCATCTCCATTTTCAAAATTAGCGCTTCAATTTGCATTCAATGTGCATTTCCCAATGAATTTAGTGAGAGGTGCGCTCACTGCCGCTCAAGGAAATATAAATGACACATTGAAGGAATCTAAGCCAAACTGTATAATTAAGGTTTTTTTCCAATTGGCAAAAACTAAAGAAAGCCAAATGATCAAGGATTGGAATGGGATTTTACGACCTACTTCCAATGACTCAAAAATCTGTGCTAATCGAAATCTCCATAAAATCTCTTTTCTTGAAAATGCAAACACACTTTTTCTTACGGGTTTCCCAAATTTATGTATGCATTGTTTAATTATTGATACTTATTTCCCAAAAAGCTTCTTCTAACGTTCAAGAAACTCTGCAGAGCTTTCTTCTGACTTAGCGCATAGTGCACATTAACGCTTTTCTTATTGTTAGTACTGTAGGATTATTATAGAAGCTTCACAAACGGCACTGCAATCCGGGCTGTTATAAAAAAATCTCCTAAATTTATGTTGCGTAACAGGCTTCGCGCATACTGATTAATTTATTAGTCAACTTTTTACGAGATGGTGTTAGCACATTTTTAGGGGCAGTGGAAACATGTGGAAATATTTTTTTCTTATAAAAGTGGCGTCCTGAACAAAGCATTGTGCAAGTCAAGTGCAATTTTCTTATTCAAGCTCAGCGATCCCGATTGGCTTTCAAAGAAAAAGAATATGGTCCATGATAGCTTGAAACACTTGTTGAACTTTCCACCCTATGTAGTCCTAATTAATGGAGAGCCATCAGTCGCTCCATATTGTAGAACAGTCGAAGCCTCTGCACAATGGTAATCAAGCATTGGCAAAAGATTTTATGGGATGAGAGATCAAACGATCAAACAGTACATAATTATTTGCTATGCTGTACTACATTATTGCATGTTAGGTGTTTATGGTGCAATCGTAATGGTGCAGATGCATAATAAAAATTGAAGCGGTGGAGAATATAACATCATAGTGCAGAAATGATCAAGCCAATAACATCTGAAAGCGGCAAATATAATCAAGACATATGATTATTATACACTAAGGAGATCTCAGCCAGTAAATAAAAATAGGAGTTTTTTTGCACTTTTAGCAAGAAGCATGGCGTATTCAAGTACCCTAAAATCCCATAGATAAGAGCGGTTTAATTTACCGGTGAAAAATGAATTGAAAAAATCGAAATTGAAAGCAGTCACCCCTCTAACTTGATGGATGGATAAATAAAAATCGGAGAAGAAGTTTAGAAGAAGCCCCGCTCCTCAACTCTAAACCCCGCCCACTTATTAAACAATTCATATAGAAATTCCGAAATTCCGTTAAAATCGCTATTTTTCTATATGAATTTTATATAAGGGCGGGGTTTGGAGTTGAGGGGCGGAGCTTCTTCTAATTCTCCGATTTTTATTTATCCATCCATCAAGTTAGAGGGGTGACTGCATTCAATTTCAATTTTTCCAATTCATTTTTCACCGGTAAATCAAACCGCTCTTACCTCTGGGATTTTAGAGTATCTTGTAGTGGACCATACGAAGACTTAAATGCTCAGGCATAGAACGTGAGCTTCTTCTTTTTCCATAGACGCTGAGCTTTTTTTTGCAGTTGATGCGGGTATAGGGAGCAGCAATTGAGAAGGAAGCCAAAGATGCGGATATTTGCACAATCTATAGGATACCAAGAATGTGATTATGCATGAATGACATTGCTGGCAGCAACGATGTGTGTGATGTATGTACTCTCTGCCAAATGTAGCAGTATAATAAAAATTCTAGTGCAAAGCATTCCGGAGATTAAACACATTTAAAGAATTTTCTCATCATTTTAGATCGTTGAGTTTTATTTTTGATTCTAATTAGCAGTATCCAGATAATCAAGATTCCTTCCATTCTTTTGACGAGAAGCGCTTTTTCCATTATCTGAATAATTGGTGACAGAAAAGACAGTAAAGAAGTTTGTTAGATTTTGTGACAACTCATATTCCAAGAGGAGCCAAGCAAAAATTGTTGACAACTGGTACAGAATTTTCTAAGTTTGCTAATCAGGTAAAAAACACAGAGAAAATCTTCTCATTCTATCTCCGCGATCTAACGTTAGCCTGAGCTAAGGACATCAAAAAGCGGAGACAAACTTGACAGTGCTAAGTGACAAAAATATCTGTTGAAGACCCACAAGAAGTAGTAAAAGTGTTCAAGTGGCTTCTCTATAATCTCTTTTTACTCACAATCAAATAGTGGGATTCCTACCATGAAGCCCTCAAGAGCACAGCCAATTATAAAGCAAAAAAGTTTTCCCAAAAACCTTGCATTCTATGGATCCTATTATGTTGTCACCCGCAAATATTTAAAAAAAAATTCAAACAACTTCAAGAGGAGGAATGAGGCAGAGCAGCAAATCAGAGCTGGTCATTCCAAGCTTTTAGCTCTACATTTTTGCTAAGGATAGCAACAATGTCTGCCAAAGTGAGCTAGAATAAGTGAAGTCCTCTGAAAAGCCGTTGCCTCCTGCTTTTGTCAATAAATAGCGAACAAAGTGAAATAAATGTCACCCTCATGAGGAAGTCGAACTAGTGTTCCTTATTGGTATTTTTTATGGGAAAACGAGTTAATGAAGTAAAAGGTTATAACATCAATTATTAGGTCGTCCCGAAAGTTCTTGCGCACGATTTTCAAAAATTCATAACTTGTTGAATTCTCAACAAATTTACAAGATCTAAATTTTGTATAAGAGAGGACTCATGCTCTTTGCAAATGTACTTGAACTGTTCGTTAATGTGTGCAAGTGAAGGAGATAGAAGCTCAAAATCAAAATCACTCAAAATTTGAATTTTTCGTGTAGGGTCATAAAAAACTTGCAACAAAAATCAGAGCAGTCAGATTGTAGGTTCTTTCACTAGCTCTTTCGAACAGTGCAAAGTTTGCGCTGATTGAGCGTCTCTATGAAAAGTTATGATTTTCGAGCAAGCAATACAAAAGGGCGAATTTGATTTATTTTGGCATTTTTCAGGGAAATGATAACTTTTCCCAGAGACGCTCAATCGGCGCAAACTTTGCACTGTTGGAAAGAGCCTGTCAAAGAACCTACAGTACTGACTGCTCTGATTTTTGTTGCAAGTTTTTTATGACCCTACACGAAAAATTCAAATTTTGAGTGATTTTGGTTTTGAGCTTCTATCTCCTTCACTTGCACACATTAACGAACAGTTCAAGTACATTTGCAAAGAGCATGAGTTCCTCTCTTATAGAAAATTTGGAGCTTGTAAATTCGTTGAGAATTTCCAATTTTTTTGATTAGAAGCAGTGGATGATTATTTTTAGCCTTTTAAAAGTTAAATGCATTTCCTTAAATTTTTGTTTGACAGGATTTGTTCCTGTGCAATAGGCCCCAATCAAAACTTGCGCCACAACAATAATCAAAATAAGTTCATGTTGTTGGACGACGAATAAACTTTCAAGAGCAAGATTTTTTTGGACGACTCTTGAGTCGGAAGAATTTGACTTTGCGATTATGACCAGGTTAGGCGTTCACATATGTTGAATAGTATAACCTTTTTCGAGAAGTAATAAGAAGATCAAAGCAGGCAAATCATGCACCTCTGTACTCATACTTGACTATATACATTACCAGTTGATACGATTCGAAAGCGTATAGTTCAATCATTTCGTATGATCATCTGTGTCGTTGCACACACTGTCCACCTTTGGCGTTCCCATCTTGGTACCTTGGAGTCGGTAACCCTTCAGGTAAGTGTTCTCGATGTGTTTTCAATGTTTTCTACTCTTTCTAGGTACTAATCACATCAAAGCGGTATAAGCGGTAAGAATCGGTCAGTCTCTTGCGTTTCTGCGAATGAAAATCCGGGATGAGACCGCCAAAGATGGGCGGTGTGTGCAATGCCATACATGATTATATAAAATGGTACGACTGTAACGAGGATTCAAAATGAAATATAGGGTGTAAATAAATTTCAAAGAACATACTCTCATGCGCACGTTCTGGAGCCACTCTAACGTCGAATGACATTTTTCAGGACATTCTTTAGCATGTAATGCCCTCATTATAGCTGAAATGGTAGGCTGAGTAAGGTCATATCTAACGACATTATGACATGACAGAAAGCCAGAAATCATAAGCAAGTACCAGCTTTTAAGAGAGCTATAAAATCTGTAATAGCTTCGCATGAAGAAAAAAGGCACCAGATGCTGAGTGGATGCTTATCCAGGCAAGACTACTAGACATAAATGGAGAATAATTATATGGTTGTTGATGGTTAGTTAAGTAATTAATGTCAACAATACGAAGAGATTTTTTAGGATCCAAATTTACGCCCTTCCACTTCCAACTTTGAACTACGCATTTCCGCTCAAATGATTCTAAAAGCATCCTTTATCACTTTGTAGGAACTATGAATCTGAGGTAGAGAGGGTAGGCATACGGCTAGAGAAACTAGCTACAAAATAATAACGTTTCAAAATACCTGCTTTCTCTCCATATCTTCTAGCAGCGAGAAGATTCGGCTGGAAACAGCAAAGAGAGCTTTTCGCCCAGCTACCTAAAGAGACCTCATGCTAGCATGATTTGAAGATAATTTTATAATTGCTGACTTTAGTAAGTTGACTGTTTGATTTTAGACAAGAAAAATGACGTTAAATTTTGTTTGAGAAAGGCTCAAGTTTAGTGAATATATTCAAGATATGCAATCAAGTTTGTTAACAAGATTGTTCCAGAACAAAAGTAGAGATGCTCAAGAAACCGTGAGCAAGAAATCTGATATTAGCGGGTGTAGACTCTTCGAGGGGTTTTACCTCGGTATGCAATGTATTACGGTGAAATAGACAACAAGAATGGTGGTTCAGTGGTTTATTAGGATTACTGTAATCGAGAGCGTGAGATTGTGACCTTGGATGGTCAACGTGTGATCAAGAGTGAGGTGAGACCTCCCAGGTGGACGCGTGGCAGACATGGCCCGCCTACTTGGCTATGACGTCATATGACGGGTATCAGGAATCATCGATCGGTCGATGATATCTGATGAAGGTTTGTAGGAGATCCTGAGGGTGGGCGGATAAGTGATACCAGACAGGCGAATGCGAAACTAATGCTATAGGATTACTCCTACAGTCAGATAAGCCAAGAGTCTGGAATTTTTGGCTCATCAAACATCAAATACCAATGAGAGTCGTGATGAAAACCCGCGCGGATTGTGTTCCGAAGGGGTTGGGCGCAATTGACGTAAATGAGAATAGGAAAGTCATTCTTTACGGCGAGACCCTTTGGGCCACTTCGTCAAAGGAGACCCAAAACGGAAGCAGTAATAGCCCAATCCAACAATAGGATGACGTCTCTACGCCAAAACTGAATAGTTGAAAGGGACGGCCGAAGCTGCTTTACTTCTTTTCTTTCGTAGTTTTTATTAAACGCCAGCATTAGAGGCATTAGCCGCATTAGCGACGCGGCGATGAAAGACCGCCGAAGCATGTCGAAGATATCTGACGGAATGATGCCGTCGGCATTCAACGAGCCAGCGAACATCATTCCAATTATATACCACGGATTCATCGAGAGATATTGGGATCCAAAAATTTGCGTAGGTACGAAACTGGAGTTAAAAATGGAGTGTTCGGTAAAGTAGCACATATTTTTTGGAAGTGAGGAGTTGAGACTTGAAAGAACCAGTGATGAAAGTCGATCCTTATCCGCTTAATTATGTGGATTATTTAGAAATAGCGCGATGCTTTTTAGAAGTATAGGGTGGGGAAAAATGGTTTTTTTTTCAGTAGCACCCTCTCACCCTTCCCCAGTTGCCCTACTTCCATAACTGAATGTACTTCCATTAAACATTTTCAGAGCAAAATGGGTCCTGCGCTTTATATGAGCAGTTGCAAAAATGTCTCCCACAATAAAGCCCTCAACATATTTCCGAACTATTTATTGGGCGAGAAGTCTATCACATTTTAATGAACCTATAGGTGATTTGGAGTGGAGAGTTGAACCTAGCAAAGAGCAACACAAATAACGAGAAAACAGCATTTTGAAGAGGACCGGCAATTCCGACATTACCATCAAAGCAAATACTTTACTTGAATTTCGTATTTTACCTTGTACTTCCATCCTGAATTTTTTTTGTTCATAACAGAAAAGTCAAAGAAAAATGCGCTTCAAAGGTGTTCTAGGAAGTTCTCGGGTGTCGACTGATGTGTACTGATCCCTTGCAAGTGAACATGGCAAATACGATTTCCAACATTTGCGGGAAAAACTTTTGGGCACCATGTTATGTTGAAATAGTTTTAAGTGTCCTAAAGTCCAACGAGGGATTCAGAGACATTTTTTGGTTTTGTTAGAAAAGACTATACCGATATCCCTCAGATGAGGCAGTATAAGAACAAAGACCAAAGTGTGACAGGATGAAAATGGAAACACTTGTTTTAGCTTAATATGCACAACTGCATTTTTCAAGCATGTGCAGAAAATGTAAGCAAAATTTAGCTACGAAAAAAAGTGACAATGTACAGAAAAAGCCGAGTGCCTGCTAGACTGCATTTCGCAAATCTTTTGGGTTGTTCCTGCTCTGAAAGGCAATTACTTCTTCGCTTTTTGTTGAGTTTGCATTCGCCTTCAAGTACAAGTCTTCCTGAACACTTCCTAGTAAGTGTCGGATGACGACATCACGCAGCAGCTGCACGCAAGCAACAAAAATGAGCACTTTGCATTTTTAGAATAGTTTTTCATCGGAAAAAAGCGTGACTGGACTGAAAAAAAACGACACAATTACTGTAACTAAAGACATGCTATTGCATGCGGACACATTTTGAATAGATGCCCCGTGGTGAAAGAATTTGGGATAAGTAAACATTAAGTCTAGCAGGCATCTAGAAAATCAGAGAAGACTGCAGAATATATGAAACCTTTTTTAAGAAGGAAAAAACGAGATAGATTTTCCGATGGAAGCACGACAGCGATTTCCATGATGTAAATGGCGATATGCACGAAATTATGCTTGTCACTCGTGCAGCTTTTTTTCCTTGTGTTCTTTCACATGACACGAATTCCGCTGAAATCGCTAAGCAAATATGTAGAAAGTGTTAATGGAAATTTTTTTGATAAAATAGCAAGAAAAAGGCATTTCAAAGTCACGAAAAACTAAAGAGGTTTCAGTGTTTGTCGACAAAGTAATTCATGTAATATGGAGGATAAAATTAGGCAAAGAGTTTTTGAAGCCATATAAAAGTGTGGGCGTTCGAGCGCACTACTATCTCAGATATCGTATAAGAGCGATTCAAAGTGGTAAAAAAATCCAAACTTAATTTTGCGAGATGCCAAAGAAGACCTGAGATCCGTTCGCTCTACCGAGGGTTATTAGCTTCAATTTATCTTTAGTATAAAATAGAACAAATCAACGCCATGCTATGAAAGATCAATGAAGAGGAATGCCGTAATTGGGTTTCGGCTTTTTGGTGCCTCCGAATGTACGTTGTTGCTGCCAGCAAATTAGATTTACATATGTGCAAAAAATACGAACGAACGTTGCAATCTTTGTGAGACGCTTCTCTACTACTTTCGAAGCTTACATAACGCATATGAATATTTCTTAAATTATGTAATTGTTTATTGTTTCTTGTAGTTCTTAAATAAACACTTGCTGGGCGCAAAAAACTCATATTGTATGCGATTTAAGTGCCAATAAAATAATGACAAACTTCGCGTTTTTTGGTATTAGAAAGTATTTGATCGAAACTATGATTTGATATCAACTTTGATTGATGAATGACGATTAATCAGTTGTTATTGAGGTCTCTTGCTACATAGTACTCGCAGCTTTTGTAAAGAGACCCAAATCATAAAGGGAAGACTCTTCCGCGATGCGGATAGAGATGAGAGATTTAGCTGGATAATTAGAAGAACAATTCAGGATGATCTGGAACAGATCGCAGGTTTTCGAGCGATTGTCCGAAACTGTAAGACGGCTGTTTTTTCAAAAATTTGCGACTGTATGAAGTACTCCACTTCTAGAAGAGCAACAAACACTCGAAACAAATGTAATTTCCAATACATCTCTATACTAAGAATTCATCCCAATCATGACGTTATATAGAAAATACATCATTCAAAAAACTCATCTATGTGCTCAAAAAAGATAAAGCAAACGAGCAGTCAGTTTAGTAATGGAGATATAATTTCCGTTTGCGTGTTTGAATACATTTGAGGAATCATTCCAAATTCTTCTCTCAACTCAAATTTTCGAAGAATGTGAAAGAATTTGATGAAATAGCTTCGAGGTAAATAGCTGTCAAGCGTCTTCCTCAGTGTCAGATCAAAATACTTTGACTGTGCTGCTTACATAAAACACCAACCTCCTTATAACATCACAACTCAGAGAATTTTTCTTTAGGAAAATTTGCTTGACTTCTTGTGAGAACTGGGCGAATGTTGAGAATAATGCCAGAGCTTTGACACATTACTGATAAGTTTATCAACTGGTAGAATTCAAACATTACGAGAGTGAAGGGTAAATTGGAAAATTAATACTCCTCAAATCAAAAATTTTCATTCTCAAGATGTGAGAAAAAAGAGCAGTATATGTTGAAAAAGTATTATCCGACATATCAGTCCAAAAGTCGAACTCAAAGTTGTTCGACTTTTGCTCTTCACTTCTTTATGCAATGACCAGAGTTCGAGCTTTTTGGTCCTGTACAAATTTTCTTTTGTTTTCTTTGACAAGGCCTGGCAATTCATTCATCACCATGACGTTATACGGAAGTTCTATAGGCTATAAATAGAAAGCCGGAGAAGATTACTCTGCGGCGAAGTCGTAGATATTCAACGAGTACCCAAGAATGACGTGGACATAGGGAACACCTAAATCAAAAACAATCGAAGCTTTGGGCTTGCGAGGGGTGGAATAGCCGTTTAGACGCAACTTCGCTTTTCTTCGTTGCTGGGAGACGACCTTAAACAGCAACTACTGTCAACAATTAACCGCCATTTAGCATGTTTGTTGATATTAATTGTCCATTTGGACGTAGAGAAACTTGGAAATTTCTCGACGCTGATGATGCAATATAAATATCAAAAAAACGACAGCTTTCTATATAAAGGATGAACTGACTAGCTGCACTTCAACCAAGTGGACGCATTTCCGTAAAATAGAATTTCTTCATATGTGATAAACAGGGTAGTCCACATCAAGTCATGCGCAAAAGATTTCCATCACTTTATATGGACTAAATGAAATCAAAAACTTTTGTCTCTGATAGAAGGAAAATTCTGTGTAGGTAGATTATTCCGATGAAAATTCCGCTGGCTTTGGTAAGAGCATTTTTTTGCTTTCGAAAAATCTTCAAGATGCGCGTTGTTTTGGAATTTTGTCTCAAACTCCCAGCAGACCTTTTTTTAGCCAATCATGATATGGATTTTAAAGAGCAAGCTTTTTGCTTTTAGATCGATCAAACTGAAAATTTATAGGCTTAAGAATGTGCGATTTCGAAGGCCAAAAACCATTGGTCCAATTGGTATTAGTTCAAATACAAAATTCTGTATCAGCTGTTGACTGAA